ATTGTGACGTCATCAACAATACATATATCCTAGATAGCCGTGACTGGACAGCTGATTCATTAGTACTGTGTATTCCAACAGCTGATAGGCCTACACGCCTGTGGCGACATGCTCCTACATCTGGTGTGCCTTGTTCAGTTGGTAGTGTGCATCCTAATGGATACAACCACTGTAGAGTTGCTTGTTACCTATTTTAATTAGTTAATTAATTAACAGACATGTGGCAAGAATATACTCTTAGTAATTAGTTTAATTTTAGCCCAAAGCTATATTATTGAGCATAGATGCCAAGCGAAAAATTCCGAAAGCAATTAATATTTTCAAAGTATTTTTTCTACCTCATAATTAGATAGATAAAAGATCTAATGTGGGTTTGAATCAATATAATTGTTTCGTTGATTTAAAATGAATACTTTAACAATGTTTACGATTTTATTAGATTGAGTATACGTAAATCTATACGCCATTTTATAGGATAGATTACTCAAGAAGTGTTTTCTAACTATTTTTTATGTAAAACTATAACGAAATTCATGCAAATAGTTTTTACAAATCACTATCGATTATTAACGAATACTATTATCTTAATCTTAAAACGTTAGTCTCGAATATGAAATTCTTTTATTTAATTTTTTGAAAAAAATTAACATGCATTTGAGAGTTTTCCCAACTCAAGGGACAAATTTATCCACAATCCTGGTCACGTAGATTGAAGTTTATTCCTTGTTGATATGCAAATGTTTCCAATCCAGCAACGTTTTATTTGCCGCAAACTTGTAATGTGCAAAGTTGAGGAGCCCGACGTGTTAAATGACTCTCACTGCTACTGTAGGGATACATTTAGTTGGCACTTCGCTGCTACTTTAGGGATACGTTTAGTTGGCACTAGTAGGGACACATTTAGTTGGCACTTCACAGCTACTAAAGGGGCTCGTTCAGTTGGTTCTTGTCTTAAATAGAGTCATCATAGCTTAGTGATGAAGCACTCTTGCAACTACACTTCAACTGTAAGGCCTCGTTCAGTTAGAATTAGTCTATTCATCGTAGCTTATAAATAATCGGCGTACATTGTAAATGAAAATAATTAGGCCTAAATGTTAAGTGTCATCATGGAGTAAATTAACTGTTGTTATTTCGTATTTTATACCTTGACAAATGGTGACCAATTTTGTATAAGTTATTTTTTTCAAGAGAAAATCACCTTTTGGGTTACTGGGTTAATCTCTTGCTAAAATAGCCGTTATTTAATGTTGTAACCTTTCTTAATTGTTATTGCTAAGCATTTGTTCATGGCATTTAATTTAAACATGCTGCTGTTAATTACTATTACTATTAGTTTGAAACTAATACCTAATACCTAATAAATAAATAAATTAAGTATTACACTAATTTAAAAACATAGCTTATGTTCAGAAAATTGTGTGCAATCACTAGAAGTAAATTAACACTTAAATTAACTTGAAATTAATTAATTAGGTTTATATTTAGTCGAAATAAGTCAATGTCGCTCAAGTAGTAATAAAGCACTAATTTTCAGATCGATTTTTAATACTTACTAGTATTTACGACTTAATGAGTTGATAAAAAACCTAATACATTAATACGGTTCAACTCAACAACTTTATCCCTAAGTTGGAACAGCTAAAATGAAAATTGCTACATACAACCTGCGACTGTACCCAAGAGTTCCTAACATGTTTTGAAAGCTTTAAATAGCATTATTGTAAATATTAGAATTAGTTATTGTATTATAGTATAGTCGTTTTGTACTGACCTGGCTAATGCAAACTATTATTGTTACTTTGGCAAAAAATGTTTTGATTTGAGTTCGTTTCCAGATACCATTTTCATTGGGGTGTGAATTAATCAAAAGGTAGATGCCAGTTGGTTACAAGACCAGAGTTTGGACCGTTCCCTTTCAAGACGTAAACACTTTGTAACTAGCGTAGAAATCACACTAGATAACTGTGTTAACAGGTCATTAGTTAGCTATCTAACGTTATTTGAAATAAGAGTTTATCTCTAATATATAAAATTCTCGTGTCACAGTGTTTGTCTGCAAACTCCTCCGGAACGACTTCACCGATCGTTTTGAAATTTGGTGTGTAAATTCTGTAGGTATGCGAATAGGACGTAAACTATTTCCCGTTTCGAAATTCTTAAAAGGGCTCCGCCCCAGTGGCTCTGGAGTTTCCCATGTTAACCTTATGAGAAATGGAATTAATGAATCTTAACAGCTGTTTCAATTAAACAAGTTGGTTCTGTTCTATGATGTTCAATAGCATTAAAGTTACAAGGATTACCAACAGGGTGCAGCACTATTATTTCTTTTACTAATTTGCAACCAAAAGGTGAGTGAGCGTAGCGAACAAACTTCAACCCTGAGGCGAGTTAGCGTAGTGAACGAGCTAACCTGAAGGCAAGTGAGCGTAGCGAACGAGCTAACCTGAAGGCAAGTGAGCGCAGCGAACGAGCTCCAACCTAAAGGTGAGTGAGCGTAGCGAACGAGCTCCAACCCAAAGGTGAGTGAGCGTAGCGAACGAACTTCAACCAGGACGTGATTGAGCGATGCGAACATCTAACCTGAAGGCAAGTGAGCGCAGCAAACGAGCTCCAACCAAAAGGCGAGTGAGCGTAGCGAACGAGCTCCAACCCAAAGGTGAGTGAGCGTAGCGAACGAACTTCAACCAGGACGTGATTGAGCGATGCGAACGAGATCGTCTTTAAAATTAAACGTAACGGTACTTACTTTATTTAATTATAAATAGTCAAAGGCAAGACAACGTCTGCCGGGTTTTCCATCGGTCGAAACCTATAACTTAGGCGATACGAAGTTCGCCGGGTCAGCTAGTTATTTTATAAAATCACCAATCGAGTATTAATGGAAGAGAAGTGTATGCTGTGGTTTCATTGAATCAATTACTTAAATATTGTTTGACCCGCTGTTGCCCGAGTTGACAGATTCTACTACACATCATGGTCGTTAACGCGAGAACATGGAAAAAAGCTTTCAATGTAAACCCAATGATATTAAATTACAAGACAGTTTCTGTCATTTACTGATTAAAATACACCTTATAATGAAGTAAGATGTTGTTTCTATAACATGAATTAATGCCAAAGTGGGTCTTCAGATTGGGCTAGGTTAGTTTATATCTTTTCCCACACGTTTTTTATTTACTGAGCAGAAATTATCACAACTCAAAAATCACCTATACTCAACTGTGGATTTTCACAGTTTAAATAGGGGCTGCCCTCTTCGGAAAAAAGAACCTTCCACTAAAATAATCTTATTCCGGTTTAGCACGAGAAGACAAATGTAGAGAGATAAAAGGAGAAATATAGCAATGTCTTGAGAGGAGAACACGAGTGGAATATGAAGACAACCTCGTGCTCCTCATGTGAATGTGATCGTTATAAATGCACAAGGATTAGAATTAAGATATGCAAAACACGATGTCTGAATAACATAACATTTCCTTGTGTGATTTATCACTTTTACTGAGACATTTGGCTTTTGTTGCAATACATTTTACTTTGCACATTTTACTTTTACATTTTGCAATAGTACTTTTCTATGTGAATATCACTGTATTCGTGTCGATATTTATATTGTTATGTAATTAATATTGTAGATTATTCCAATGGGAGTCTTACTATTATTTAAAATTTTATATCTTAGTATTAATCACACAATAGTATAAATAATTGAAAAGTATTCATTTTATTTTGCTCAAAATAAGAAATATGAGAAACATATTTTTAATTAAGGATCTGGCGTTACGAGTATTTTATTGATCCGTCATAAGTGTGTCAAACATGGCTGCTTCTTTTACTTTCGACGCACCGTTATGTCCAATAGAAAATCATTTGAAAATAATCTATTTTAAGAATCAAAATATTATTTGATCTATAGTCAATTTAATTAGTGATTTAATTATTTGGAGTATGTATATATATATATGGACGTTTTTTCTTTTACTACTTGTACTTGACCCCAATCTTGTATGTGTAAAGCTTAGTCTTATATATGTCAAATAAAAATGCAAAAGAAAAAATAGATTAAGTGTTAAACATGCATAACCAGAATGCCTGGTCATGTAGCAATGCTTCACCATGATATGGCATCCCCACACCACAGCTATACAACAAGACTGGGCCAGGGTTGGCAAAATAAGGACAGAAATCCACCCTTAATCATATAACTCACCCCTCCTCTCTCAATCTCTCTCTCTCTCTCTCCCCCTCTCTCTCTCTCTCTCTCTCTCTCTCCCCCTCTCTCTCTCTCTCTCTCTCTCCTCCCCCATTGGTGGGTCGTACTGTTGTAATTGGACTTGTATTTACAACAAGCTCAGTTTGTGTTGTGGTATGTAAATTTTACCACCATGGTAAAACGATGCATTCAGTGACTTTTTATCATAGAATCAATATTTTTTTATAAGTTTTTGTAAACTTCAAATTTTATTTTAAGGTTATAACAGTTTAATAAATCTACTGTCCATCAGCAATAACATTTCTTACAGTTTTAGATTGTCTACATTGTAATGCGTAGGTTCAATGTGTATGCGGACGCTCCCAATGAGGGTACATACGATACGCCCCCATGCATGACATTTGTGTAAAAACACATAATTTATATATATACAATTATTTCTCAAAAAGACTATATTTATCAATGTGTGATTCAAATCATATGTTTTGTTTGTTTTATACATATTTAAAAACAAACTTATAATCATTACAGTCCACTGCTACCTTCAATAAACATGTACTAATCATTTTCTATCTTTTATTTTACAATCCAAATCAATTAGAATCGTTTATTTCAGAAACAGCATAACCAAAATTTTTTTCGAATTTGACTTTTTAGTATATTCATCATCTACAAGTTGAAATACATCGTTTGGTGCAGAAACATCACAATGTTGGAAAAATGTTGGTTATTCTGTTTCTGAAATAAACGAATTTCACTTTACATTTTGTTGAAGCAGCATGCTGAATCTGATCTTAAAAAAATACCGGTAAGACAAGAAAATACATCTAGGAATTTTCATTTAAATACTGGCTATAAAATGAAAGGTTTGATTCTACTATTTTGATTCCAGTTGATTTGTTGGATGTATCATCTTCTCCCAGCCCCAGTACAGGTTGTGGTAGTTTATCTTGACGTTTTTCACCAGCCAGAGTCCTCCAAAACTGGCGCATTTCCTGAACTTCTGGCAGACGACGCACCAGATATCCTCTAACTGCGGCTTGTATCACAACAGCTGCCTGCTCTCTCGTCCACACCCAAGACTGAGGCATGGCTGGTCTGGGGTTTTCCTCAAGATGTTTCTGAACAAAAGGAATGTCAAATATAGAAACATAAGAGCCTTGTCGCTCTGGATGGAGAGGGTTACAGTTCCACAGAAGTTCAGCCAAGTAGTCGAGACCGTTGAAGTGAGACTTTTGTATCTTCAACACATCATGTTCCTTTGCTGCAAAAAGCATTTTCTCCAGACAGGGAAGGAGCACTGGGAACACTTCTTTATCCATATAATCCACTGGATTGCCCTCTTCTTTTTCACAGATTTCTTTATCATTCAGTTCTTGTTCTGTAGTTTTGGCATCGCTGATGAAAAAGCTCCCTTGTATTTCTTGAAGATCATTTTCACTAGATTCTGATATTTTCATGTCAGTCGGTTCCAGTGAATCCTCAGTAGAAATACTGTCGGAGGGCGAGGATTGGTGGAATCTGTTTACCATTGGTTTATAACTTACCATGCCAGGAATTTGATCTATAATTTTGTTACCGTATCCATTGTTATCAGCTCTGTTAGCGAATTTGTTTTGTTGGACCATACGACTTATCTCATCTGGTGATAGTGAAACTATTGAAGGCTTCTCTGTAGGTATGTCATCCCAATTATTTTCATATAAAGACTTTTTAAACAGATCATCACACTGTGTATCAGAGTTTTTGTCAAACTCTTCAATTGAATACATGTTTAAAAAAGTGATGGGTTATACAGAAACAAAATAAAAGGAAAAAAATGTTTAGTACATAGGTAGCAGTGGACTGTAATGATTATAAGTTTGTTTTTAAATATGTATAAAACAAACAAAACATATGATTTAAATCACACATTGATAAATATAGTCTTTTTGAGAAATAATTATATATATATATATATAAATTATGTGTTTTTACACAACGTTTAACAAAAAAATGTTAGTTTAACATGTTTGTAAATTTGTATTCACATATTGTTTGAACGTTACCTTGTTTTTACTTATGAGTAATAGTTATTTCTTGTTGTTACTTGAACGGTGTACAGCCCCATAAAACATTGATACACAAATACAATTTTCACTTTTTACGTTAAACTAATAAACCGTTTTCCATAAAACGCCATTTACTTGCTTAGGAAATTAAAAATATAGAAAGTCTGATTAATTATGGGTCAATTCGAAACGATATTGTGTCCCGCATATAAGGTAATAATATTAATTACCAACTAGTTACTTTACGTTTTATGTATGAAATATGTCTCATTTTAAGGTCATTTCATTACTACCAACGTAATTTAAGATTCAGCAATTTGTGTTCGTTTTACATTTTTCACCCAATAATTGCTCACATTGAATGGCACAGCAAACAAATCCAGCTGTTTAATATGTAACAAAAACAACCACAGCGACAGCTATTGGAAGCTGGAACAATAAAGTTCACCGATTCACGGCAGTTTGAATCGCACTGTTATCAATATGACGTTTGTCATCAGCTGTTTGAACGAGTTCCATTGATGCCAACCATCGAAGTAATAACTTTCCAGGAGTACCAACTGTCAAACGCGCACCACCTAGAGCAAATTATTAATTCAAAAATGAAATATGTATGAGTCTGGTACATTCAAATATTGTCAAAGTGTTTTCTAGTTTAATATTATGATAGATAGAGAAATACAAATGCTAAACTTCATAGTAATTTGTAATTACAGTTTGACTTTATTAAATGTTTGATAATTTGATAAAAAAGTATCAGACATCTGCGCATTCGCAAATGTTTCTACTTAATTGTGTCGATTATAGTTCTAGAACTGGCTAAAACTTGAACTTTTGTAGGACAAGTCTACTCAAATATTAATAGTTTCGTGTTCCTAAGACTCTTGGCACGAGCCCGGGATTGTTTTTCACATTACTTCAGGCTAGACCTAGGTGTCGCGGTATCATCACTTATCACTTATCACCAAATAGGTAGTTGATTTGGTGGGATTCGAACCTGGGACTTCAGGGACCCAAGTTCCGCGCTCTAACCACTACACCAGCTCGCTCCCTGGTCTATTAAGCTAATAAATATTAATTGTTGAATGAAAGGCAAAACTGAACAACGTCCAACTACTTTACAACATACATACAAGAATCTTTACATATAATGATTGTTCAAGATAAGAGAAGGGATGAAGGAGTGTTGTTCATACGCAAACTTCCAAGCTACAATTTTGCTGAGCCTTACCTTTCACTGGACTAATAAATATAGTATATTTCGTACCTAGGGCCGAAAATGGTGTTTTGCCGGCTCGAGATAGTTTTTAAAATCGATCGAGAGCTGCAAAGCATTTCGGTCCGTGTTACGAACGCTATTTTTCACCACACTATACCCTATTACCACTATTCACCACTATAATAATGCACACTGATAGTCAACACAACAACTTTAAGGTTATGTGAAGAAATAATTTGAGGAATCAGCAAAAATAAAAATAAATATTTGCTAGGCAATGGTGGCAATAACACAATTCTATTGCAATGCTATGGATTTTGATTGTGTATTTAAAATGCATTCATGTTTTAAGTAAGCATGCGGACAGCTGATTTTGCGGCCCCGGGCTGTAAAAACCACTGAGAAAAAACCTGCTCGGTCCCCAAATTACAATGACAGCTGGCATAGCCAGCAAAACGTAACTTTCAGCCACCGATTAACGTATGTAATACAGTCAAAAACATCATAGTGTGGTGAAAAATAATTTTAAATAAGTTATTCTCAATGAATGCCACGAATATGTATATAAAACTTGTATAAACAAAATGCAAAAATAAATAAAGAGAAACAAATTTAAATAGGCCTAATTCATGAAATTTTACTCATATTGTACCAATTTGTGGTTTTGAAAGTTTAAAACCCGATGCGGTTAGATTGTCACTTGATCCACTGATGCGTCAGTTATTGGTACTGTGGGACAAAACAACCTTTATTGATGGGTGGTTGGCATCACTGTGGCGTCATTTATCAGCTGATTACAATCTCTGACAGGGTTACCAACCGCAATGCATTCATTGATGTCATTTGACATCGAAAATGTATTGGGTTTATCTCTGCCGAACAAACTCGCGAGATGAATGTTTTTAAATTTATTTACCTGGTATTTCAAACAACTACCCTACCATACATTTTGCCGTCTACTTTTGAAACACTGTATAATATTTTTTTATACAAAACTATTATTTTAATAATTTATAATTCATGCGTTTGTATTATAGTTCGGGTCATGGTCAGGAGGAATAATTGGAAGTCACTGTTATCAGAACACATAAAATTATGTAATTACTACATATACTATTAAAAGGGTGATTTTATCAAGAAGTAGGCCACCATTATTAAAATATTTCTCTGAAGGAATAAAATAGAATCGAATTAACTTGCATAGCGAAAACATTAATGATGATCCTATTCTTAAAAAGACTCACTATTCGAATCTTAGGGCGTAAAAACCTAAGTTTAGCCACATAGAAGTAATATAAATTACTAAGTACGAAGTAATATTTATATTACTTCTCTGTGGTTTAGTCATAGTTTTACTACCCATTTAACTCTTTGTTTTTTATCAACTTTAGCACGAGGAACAGGTACGCAGTAAGACACAAGACTGAGTTACATTCTGGATGCACGAGTTATAAACTCAACGCTCCAAAGTAGGGAAACGTCAGTAAATATGAAGACAGACTCTGAACGTTGTGTTATGAACCCACGAGCTTGTCTCTTGTCACATGTATCTACATAACTGAATAACACGTCAAGGCTTGGTGTTGTTGATGTAAAATTATTTAGCTGAGGCTAGAGGCTATGGCTGCCCTGTTATTGTTCAAGCATAGTCATCTGCATTCACTTAGTATATCCTTTTCATAAACTATTTGAACAAAGGTAACGTTTAACTTAATTACTGCGACTTGTAACATAAATTTAGTTAGAATTAATTGTTCTCTCGTGTAATTGTATTTAGTTTCAATTTACGGTTACTATGAATATGTAAGATTAAATTCGTGGTCTTCGGTGTTCGAGCCCAATATCCCGGATATAATAAGTAAGTGAATCAAAGAGTCTGATCTAAAATTAAGCATTTGTCTTCCCAAACTCTTTGCAACAAAGTTTATAATTGTCGACATCAATCAGACTCGTTTAAAAGTTAGAAAAGTTTTAATCTAATTTTCTTAAATGAACCGGGACAAAGAGATGGAAATGTGGGGTTGTGATTGTTTTATTTATGTGATATCTTATTTTGTAATCATAATATGCTCACTGTAATTTTGTGTTACTGATGGAAAAGATATTTACTGCAAATGTATAATACTGTTTGCTTCTTTTTGAATCACCCTGTATTAATAATTTTATTGTCTTTGATATGTATGTAGATATGTATGTAACACAAAAAAATGTTTCTACATTACCATAGTTTTCCACCTACAATCTTCTGGATCTTCTAGTTATAAAAGGGGAAGTAGCCGTATCCGGGTTTAAGTATTACATGAAAAGTGTTTGTAAGAAGAGTTTGATTTTCCTTGTTAAGAAACATTTATAACTCTGAAGGAAAACAATTTGGGTTACTTTACAGCAGTTTGGATAAGAACTAAATTCAATTTGTTTATGGCCTGTTCTTAATTTGCGTTGACATATCTTTCTTACTAAATAAGAAAATCTAAATTCGATATTCGATTCCTCAAAAAACTAAACATTTTAAAAACATACTTTTTCATCCATGCAATGGTGCAAGTATGCTAGGCGGATTGAAAATTATTCCCTCCTTTGATTCTATATTTTATATATTTTACTTACCAGGTATTTTAACGAAAATCAAACAATATGACTTTTAGAATAGTGTACCAATTTTAGATTACTTTAGCACCATATAGATTTTATTTTGTAGTTAGATTGACTACATTGTTTAACAATTGTAATCTAAATATTAACTAAACTGTCCCCTAAAAGAAAAGTCTTGTTTATATTGTAAAATAACCAATTCACTGAAAAAGTAAATTTATAAAGCAATAAATACAGGATTAAATTTTAAATTGAAATTTGGGCTATAACACATCCAACCGCGTTTACATATAGATGATACCCAACGAAATACCTTTAGGAATTGGTTTGGGATAGCTCCAACTTTATAAATGTTTTATGAAAACTTTAATGTTGTTGCGAAAAAAAGCAAATAGCTGAGTTGAATCATAGATTAAACATACTTCCTTATGTTTAATCTATGGTTGTATCTGGTAAAAGCAATTGATTATAATTGCAATTATTATAAAACAATATACATCTAATATATAAAATTCTCGTGTCACAGTGTTTGTCTGCAAACTCCTCCGGAACGACTTCACCGATCGTTATGAAATTTGGTGTGTAAATTCTGTAGGTATGCGAACCGGACGTAA